CACGTTGTCCAGAAAGGGTGAAAGCTTGTCAGTTCTCGAACCGAATAGGCATTTGTTGATTGTTTAAGGAGGAGCAGTGCCCAGATCAGTTATATTCCTGACCATGGCATCCACTGCACTGGCACTTTTCCCGAAACTTTTAGAATGGCAACGCGCTCATACCCTTGTATTGGTAGCTCTGAGGATTTCCTGGGAGATTATCACTTTTTCTAGGAATCCCTCTTTGTTCGTACAATTTGTTTTGCATTTTGAGTTTTCTACCAAGGAACTTTATTGCCAGCATGATAGATACTTTCTAAAATCTGACACATAGAATCCACAATCATCGTTGAGAGCTGGAATTTGACTTTTTTATTCTAAAGTTTCTAAAATTTCAGTCCAAGAATTTCAGGCTCCCGTCAGGTCGCAAAGTAGTGTTTACGGACACCATTGGATTTCTGAGTGATCTACCTATTCACCTGTTGGCTGCCTTCCAAGCAACACTCTCCCATGTGACGTTGGCTGTATGTCGGATAATCCTTTTGCTTTCTTGTGTATGGCTTATTACGGAGATCTCTTGGTAGTCTCAGTTTTAGGATGTCATCATTCATATTCGTGATCTGTCGAACCCGGACTGGCCCGCGCAAAGCGAAGACGTGGAATTGACCTTAGGACAGATTGGTCTGCCTCCGGATCGCTTAAACGATGTCATTGTGGTGGACAATAAGGTTGTATTCTACTTCTGCTAGTTTAGTTATCTTGAGGTCAACGAGTTATTAATCTGCATGGGTGGTAAGCAGCATGGGGGCATTGAAGGAAGCTGCGAAAATAGCGCATCGAAATTGGAAGCATTAACACACTCCTCTTCTAGATTTCTCAGAGTTTTTTGAGATGTGGAAGTGAAATTCGACTATTTGCTGATTCTTGTGTCATATAATCAAAAAATGGGATTTTCTTGAATCAGGTGCCCCTCTAAGCCCAGTGCTGCATAATAAACTGTCGTATATGATATCTGAAATTTTACTTTCTTTTTCTTCCGTATGACACTTCCTTTTGCTGCTCCTTTACATTAC